GATATTTCAACGGTGAAACTACCCGTAAGATACTTTTTCGCTAAAAAAATGAACATTTGATGAGAATATAAGCAAAACACGAGTTTTTTTACTGTACTACGCACTATAAAAAAATTCTTTCTTTTCGAAATCCTACATGACACTGCTTAGTCAGTATGTAATGGCAATAGATAAAGAAGAAAGAAAAAACAGTATATGTTTGCGATAATTCTCGCGATCATGTTGTTCCTCAAGCATTATTTCCTGAAAAAGAGTAAGAAATTTTGTTTCTATGAATAGTTTGAAAGTTCACTCTTGTGGTTTTAAGGCATTCTGATCGTCCGCCTATTGTTCTATCGGAACAGGGAAAATACTTATTTTTACTTGAATTTTATGAAGTCGTCCAAGAAAAAGTTGATCCAACTTCAGAAAAGCTGCTGAAAGGTTGACAGAGCAATATGAGGATTTTCCGCTTCATTCGACAAGTACTTTGTGTTAAAAAAATGGAAAACGTAAGTGACATGTTATTCTCACGTAGATGAGAAGGAGAAGAAAAAACACTACATCGCTTTATACTATTTTCTAGCTTGGCTTCGTATACCAACGAACATCAAAGATAAAATTCTCCTGGATTCACAAGCTTTTGTTGCGGCAAGGGCGAAATACTTTTAAATTTTTGAAGAGTCGAAACAAGATAACGTTCACTTATACTATCGTGATGAACCTTGGATGAATCTTTCAGAAATAGACGATCTATTTGGGCATTAAATAGCGAAGAGGAAATCAAAAGAGGTGGAGGGAACGATAGGCCATGACGTCACTCGTAGACAATTTTTCCACATCTTATTTTTTGCCTTGTTCACATGATCTTGTCTGAAAGTATCAGTAGTCACATATATTAATGATTATTAGATCCCGTCAGTTTATATTTGGACACGTACCGAGGATCATAATATGGATTCAACTTGCGTAACGTTAAGAGAAGAGATGTCAACTGATGCATTTTGAGTAGTGTTTTTCATTAATGATTTCTGACACTTTCTTCTTAGGAGTAAAAAAAGAACTGATATTTGTCTAGACAATGCGACTTGGCAATACAAACTCACAGAAGAACTAGTGACTCCGAAACGCGCTTCAGCAAAGGCAAAGGTTCAACAATGGTTGAACGATAGAAAAAATGATTAAAGTTCAATTATTACAACTAGTTAATCAGAATGATGCAAAACAGCTGATCGAGCAGTTTGTGGCGACGATGAACGATAAACGTGCAACTTCGTATTTTCATCATGTTCGTGGAATTGAAGAAATGTACAAAGCGACGGATGCAATTATCGAATAAGATATCGAACCACATTTCGGACCTGACAGTGGAGAAGCAGAGTCAGAAAACGAACCGTAAAACACAGAATAAACGTTCTTTTTCTATTCATAATTAGTTCAGTCCAATACGTTTTTGTTTAAAGATAACAGAATCTCAATTGCTGTAAAAGATTTTTAAAAACTTTAAAGATTAAAAGATTAAGTAAACTAAAAGAAAAAATTTTTCTTGAAAACGATCTTCAAGATCAGCATTCTTGCAGTTCAGCACTCATCATCTAAATGCCAAAATGCGGCAGAATTATAAAATGAATACTTTGATACTGCTTAGTACAGTAAAAAAACTCGTGTTTTGCTTATATTCTCATCAAATGTTCATTTTTTTAGCGAAAAAGTATCTTACGGGTAGTTTCACCGTTGAAATATCTCTGGTATTTCCAGACAGGAAAGTGAGAAAATTCCTTCGATATCAGCGTGAAGTGAGCATGTCGTGGTACCAACATTATGGAAAAAAGTCCTAACAAAAGATTTTCTAATACATGCTCAATTTCGTCGGCGAAAAGCTGCTTGACAGAATACTTTGACTGGCAGCTTTCGCACATAGGTATCTTCCGCCGACCTTCCTCTATTGATTGGTGACAACCGCTGTTGGAAATAACTTTTCAAACAAAAGTTACACAACTTTCTTCCACCTGCCTCTTTTAAATTTCGATAGTAGTATGCTCTTACACGAAGCATTGATACGAAATGTACAAATCTAGTGTAGGAAAGAGGTTGCTGGCTGAAGTTCGCCTATACAGAAAAAGATGCTCATCGACTAAGTCGCTACTTGAACACCCATTAAGATTACGCCGCCAGAGTTTCTATTACTATTCCTACGGCACTAAAGAAGAAGATATTGCTCATTTCCTAAACAATTGGCTGAATTGAGTACGGCATCGAGATTGATTATATAATGAGGGTCTCCATGCGGTCGGAGAAATGCGGATACAAGGATTGCGCGATTCACAATAGTTAAACATCATAGGAGCGTTCTGCACACATTCTCTTTGCAGCGAGTATTTCCGCTAGTTTGTCATAAAGAAAACGAGAAAGAACTTACTGCGTAATAAATCTGTATATTATTTAAAATAGAATTGGTTAATATTGTTATAAAATCACATCATTGTAAATGCATCAACATTTTTTTATCTATCAAAGAGGTAAAAAACATCGTAGGTCACTTTTTCTAAATAGCAAAGTGACACCGTAAAATTAAGTTGATAGATTTAGAATGGACGTCAATCATTTTATTTCACTAAAATGACAAATAAATTTCTGAATACTTTGTCTTGAAAAATGGTCTATCGATAGATATGTTCTTTTTTTCTTATTCAAAAGAATCGTTTCTATTTCTATTGAGTTTAAATTAATCCACGGATTTCTCTTCTCAACTGTTGAAAGAAAAAAAGTTGAAATGAGAAATTTGTAAATAAATATTTTTCCATAGGATATACTAAGACTAAAAGCAAAGACATTTTTCTAATATTTTATTGTCTGAAAATGAATGGAAGTCTATTTTATCTGATAAAACATCGCATGCTCTCTCCAAAGGTTTCATTCTGATTTTCAGAACTTCCTTCGCAAGGTCAAGGTGTAAGTAGAGTTGGCACTATATCCAAGTAATTTTTGTTCACATTCATTTTAGTAACTGTGTTGGACTTCTAAGTGGTTGTGCTGCATGCAGAATTAAATTCTCTATCGAATGGTGTGTAAAGTGACAAATTTTGGATAGATTTTGTGCTAATACCACCCAAAATATGATCTTCAAAAAGTTTAAAATCTATTTTCTCCGAGAAAAAAGTCGACCTCAAATAAAATGAATATTAGATTCGTAATCAGCGTAAAAAAACTACATATAGAATAGTGTTTACAAATGTTGTTATCGAAAAAAGGAGTTTTCCAAACTTAATTAGCGAAGTGTGATTTTACGTGGACATGCCCCTCTATTTCTCTTTTTACTAGAACCTTACGTGAATAAGTGGTACTCTAAATGTTTGTCATTACACATGTGTATTTTGAAACTCTCGATGTACCATAAAGAAACTTACCTAGCTCATAATAGTACATTATCAAAATTCAACTGAAGAAGTTTCCATCTTAGATATTGATAGTTTTTATACCAACCAGATTGGATTTAACACCGTCTGAAGCAGAATGACATGTTGCATCGAACAACACTATTGTCAAAAACAACACAAGTGCCAAAGGAAATCTAAGTAGAAACGAGTAGTTAAAATTACTACTTAATAGAAAATGTATCTTGAATAAAACCCATAGTTTTTGACCGATGATCCCTGTTGAAATTTAGACTATTGGATAGAGAATTTAGTTTTGCATGCAGCACAACCACTTAGAAGTCCAACACGGTTACTAAAATGAATGTGGACAAAAATTATTCGAATACGGTGCCAGCTTTACTTACGTAATTTCGTCATAGAATTTAAGTGCGTTGATTGTTTAATCCAGTGAAAATTGTTCACACAACACTTTATCTGCATTCTCATCATTCCAGTCGAAATGTCATGTTTCTTTAGCTGCATCTTAGACGTCAACAGTATGGGAATGACCGTTGCTAATTGACTCCAGTACATCAAACAACAGCTCGGCTACTTCCCATTCACAATTTATAACGATTGAGGTGGATGAGATGGTGGACGGTAATAAGTTTGAAGTTCGATCAATGAAAATCTTCACCATATTTGCGGATTTGATCATTTTAAAAAAGACGTGAAAAAAAACGGATATCAGCTGCTTGCTTGTGCGCCACTTGTATATCATATACAATCGAATGAAGAAAAAATAACCTCGCGGCACAAATAAAGGATGAAAGAAAGAACAGGAGGAAAACGCAAGTTAAGAAATGTGAAACAAACGAATATAAACATGCAATATTTATCAAGAAGATGCGATTTTGCCCTAGCAAAAAAACACGAAAAAGAAGGTAACCGATAGTCTGTTATGATTCTTTCCAGTAATACTGTTTTGGTGTATAACAACATTGAATGTGAAGTGAAGAATTCTAACTGTTTCATGGGTCGATGAGCACTGAGTAGACATGATATTAATGAGATATGATCTCACTCGTAACCTAAAGTAGATTGTACCACCAGTGCACGAAAGTGGAAAGTTTGTTCACTAGATCACTCTACTATTCTCTAAAAACGGTAATTTTTCACTTTAGTCACTTTTCGCATACATCTTGAGAACTTAATATCCTGAAACAGAGGCGCGAGGGCACGAATCCTCTTGAGGGTTTTTATACTTCATTGAGGTCTATATATCACTAAAAGATGGGATCTGAAAGGCTTGAACATCTAAATATGTTGCCTTGTTAGAACAAAAATTTTAAGTTTTATTTTGCTAGCTACAGTATATAAGAAAAAAAAACAGGTAAATCTTCTTATTACTCGTTTCAGATAGGTCATTTTTGCTAATCGTTTTTAATATCTTTAAAGCAATCTTTATCGATTTCTTCAACTTGTAAATATCGTTGACCATCAACATTTGTCCAATATTTATTCTTTTCTAACTTTCTTTCATCATTTGACATTTCATTTTCAATTGCAGAAACAATACGTGCACGCTCTAAATGCCTGTATTTGAACGAATTGATTAATCAAAGAATACTACACGATGTATATACAGACCAGATTTGTGTGGCACTCTCAATAACTTTTCCATAAGTATCACCCATCATAGCAATAAGTAAATTAAGTAAAAGTATCGAAACAACGACAACATACACAATCAATAATAAAATATTGATATATTGAAATGTTGCTTCTGTATATTGATCAAGATCAAAATCGCCCAACATACCAAAGAAACACTGTTTAAGACTTGTAAGAAAGCCACTAAGACCTTTTAAAAAATAACATACAGACAAAAAGGCGTTTGTTTTTCATTCAGTTTACCATTGTAATTAAGTAAAATAAAGAATGCTTGAGAAAAACCAATAAGAAAAACAATATAGATAATACAAAACCGAAGAATATCTTTCGAAAGCATTTTATAAATCATAAAAACAAATGGTCCAGTTAATTGTAGAGCCATTATAAAAAATAGCATATAACCCCAACCTACAATTGAGACAAATGCAAGTATCACCGTATGAGATTGGATATCCAATAGGCGGAGAATATTATGAAGAATAATTCCAGAACAAAATAAACATGATAAACAATTTTCAAGGAGAGCGGAGCCCTAATCATCATGTAGAATTGATAAAAACTATCGAAATAGAAGCAAATATTTACTGTTGCTTGAAAATATTTTCGTATTCCTACGTTTGCCATTTCTTTTAATTCTGATTCACTTTTTGATATAGCTCCAGTTAATACAATTAAACGTCCTGTTGTACATAATGTCCGATGAATAACACCTGGATGTTCGGCACCAATTATTTTCATATGACCATCTTGATCTTCGACCTATATAATTGAAAGAAAAAAAAGAACACGATTTCAATAGACGGTATTTTATTTTACTATATCTGTTCTTGTCTGATCAAGAATTGTTGTGAGAAGAAAAGAGAGTAGATAAACAAGAGTAACGAGGAAGCGACGAAAAAAGCTTTGCCGAGCAAAGCATTCCCATTTTTTATCAACTAAATCAATAATACGTGGATGAATAATAAGCTCCGATTGAGCATTTTGAACAATCACTTCAAGAGCACCAGGTGCCATACGTTCGCCCTTTGTTAATAGAGAAAAATAAACGAGACAGAAAAAGTGATTAAATGTTACTTTTCGTTCAGTTTCAAGTTCATCAAGTGGATAAAGTACACATGAAACAGGTCCGTAGCTCCATTGAACAATTTTAAGTTCATCAAATAAAAAAGAAAACATTTCAGTTACACCTAACTTAGCTGATAGCGTAAATGGAGTATAACCGTCGTTATTTAGTCGTTTCCATAGCGGAACTGTTTTATTCTTTTGTTCACCGTTCATTGTTTCAGCTTTTAACCAGCATTCTTTAAATTTAGAGTATATTTTCGGTTTGTTATGAATAACAACTAAATGAAATATTGTATTCCCATTACTATCAACCTAGAAGCTCAGAGTCAATTTTGTTGTCAGTAAATGAGAGTAGTCCCTATACATACTGTATCCATTGAAGCACCATGTCTGAGTAAAATTTCAGCAATATCCCATTGATTAGTACAGCAAGCAAACGCTAAAGGAGTTTCACCGTAGTAACATGGACGACCACTAAAGAAGATTGAAAAAAACATTTAGAATATTATAAAAAGTATAGATATCAATAAAATATGTACAATTGAAAAAAACTTCCATTAGCAGTGGCTGCCAACTGTTGTTCTCGATAAAATTTACTATGTTCATTACTGAGAAGCCATTCAACCATGGCTGCATTACGTTTGATAATAGCAATATGAAGGACAACTTCGCCGCGATATTCCTATAGGAATATACGTATACTATTCAATAGACAAACATGTAAATAGGAGACAAACTCACGGACTGATCGTAAGCTTGTATGACAGTTTCTGGACAACGTCTCACGAGATATTGAGCCATATTGATATGATTTTCAGTTCCATATAAAAATAGCATATGGATAGGACAGTCACCAACAGGACCTCTTTCATTAACACTATTCGGATCAGCATTGAGAAGACGTTCGAGTCCTATTTGATCTGCTTTGCGCACAGCTTCCCAAATTGTTCCACCTTTATGTGCTGCTTCTGTTTGTCTTTCAACAGGTGATAACGATGATCTTTTATGTCTTCCTTCTTCTTTTGATTGTTTAGTTTGTGTCATACTATTAATTGAAATTTAATAATAATTTATGAAAAAGAATCCATCCTATCGCTAAAAAGCCTTCATTTATAAATTACAATATATACAAGTATGTTCTGATAAATGTTTCTTTTTAATTTCACCCATGTCATAGCCTTGTGTCTAAACATTCATAACTTTTTCATTAGTTAGAAAAATTAATAGGCATGATTAGTTTAAAAGGAAAATAGAAAATAGAGATTGTATTATTCATTTTTATTAAGGACTTAGTCAGTTCACGTTAACGTACTTTTCTTTGTCGAATAGATTCACTCCCGTCACTGTAGCAGTGAAAAGTATTGTTGATATTTTGCCGTTGTTATTAATGTGATATAACGAAAATTAGTGCACATAGTCAAATAACTGTAAGCCGACCTTGCTTTTTCGTTCTGTTGACAAATATTGTCATGAAAGGCAACAGAGGGAAGGACTCTACCAGCGCTTAATAGTTTTTTTTGCAACTCTGAAACATTACCGCCATCTAATCGGTGATGGCAGAACGAAAGATTCTTCTTTATTCGTTCTATTAGTGACGAACTGATATAAAATGCTTAATAATATCGTGGTTAAGTTAAAACTGTAATGTTCTAAGTTGTCTTGTCCTTTTGTCTACTCGAAAGTGAGTACACGACTAGAATCGATCATTATGTCGGATCGTTAATCCTATTACTCGTGAAAGACTAATCCAATTGTCATGAAATTGTGGTACATAGCATTATTCCATCAATATCTTGATCGGTTGTACCTTTTCTTACTTGCAGTGAAGTTTTCTCCCAGTCATTTGTATGTTTTTCTACTCAATCGTTTAATATTTACTACCTGTATCATTTATGACAACCAAACGGATCATGCTAGTCCATCAGATCCAGAAAACCATGTGAAAAGTGCTGAATACCTAGTTAAGGGGTAGTTACGGGGAACCTGGATGTGATCTGGGTGAAATTTCATTCGTGTGATAGAAAAGAAGGCCAAACATTTCATGCTACTTCTGTAGGAGTAATCACACGTAGATAGAGCGCTGTTGAGCGAGGACAAGGATGTATTTCACTCAGACCACCCATCTGGTAGTTATTGGTCTACACGATAACCATTTGACACATTACACACAACACGAACTATTGATTGTTTTCAAATCGTATTCGTTCAAGACACTAGAGACAATGACGTATTCGATGAAGCACTGAGTAGATTGTTGAAAACTATTCCGACTACTTTGTCTCTCATCCTCACCCAACTACAGGATTCATTCATGCTTTTCATTCACTTTCTCGGGACAGTCGAGTACTCGAAATTGCATTAGTTCATCCAAAAGAGGATCGAATTGTATTTCGTGAAGGTGGATTGCAAGAAGCACATCATCATCGATCTAGCGATCGTTCTTTTGTACTAAACATTTTTGAGACACTTGACTTACCGAACGAATGATTTTTAGATAGAGATTCTCGCACTCGCTACTTTAGACCTAACGGAATGATGCCCAACGTTTTTGTAGTAAGTCAAATTCCTTGTTTGATATCATTACATGATAATAGTATTCAAAGATCGGTTTGTAATGTTTCAATCCGAGGTTTGATCTTTACACAAACAAGTAATACTTACGACAAGATTATATGATACCGAGTCGTGATGATTACTCTGTTCATCGAAGACCAGGAGGATCGTTCCGACGACTGGATCTATTCAAATCTGGGTCGGTTTCGGAACGGATTTTGTCGATTCAGGAGGTTCCGATCCGATTCGGTAGATCCCTTGTCGCCGAATTACGCCCGGGACCGACCAAGCCATAATGACTTGGGAGGGGGACGATCTTTGTTAACAAATAGGACAAGTATTTCGATTAATGAACATCTATCTGCGAAATCACAAAGCAACATCAATGGCTTTCAATGAATTCATATGATTACAGCTGATTCAGCTATCATTTTTGTGGGAACTACAAATAGAATTGACGAGAGTGAGGATGAGGGCGAGAACGTAGAATGTCTGAAAAAGGAGATGAAAATGTCGAATACGACTATATATACAAATAGAAATGTACTACAATCAAGATATTTGAATTCGAAATAATCTTTGTAAATTTGATATTCTTAGCAAACATGGAAAAGCAACACATCTCGCTCTCATTTCGAGAATTTTTGAATCAATACGAAGAAAGTTTTGTTCAAGTTAAGAGTTTATCACTTTCCCTTCATACAGCTCAGCTCGTTCAAAATGCAAGATTTTAGTAGCTTCGAAGTTTTTTCGAGTCGATTTGTAAGTCAGAAGAGGGGTCACTGATACTAAAAGATGACTATTACTTATTTTTAATGAAAATAAAAGAACTCCAAAGATGATTTCTTTTGGTGACCTCCTTATATTATATTTGAATGATTAAAGAATAATCCTAATGTGTTTCTATTCACATTGTAATTGCCTTTTTCTATTATAAACAAGAGTGTTCATCATCTTGACACTATCTTTTGGTAATGAGGAACAAAACACATTCAGAACTTCAAAATTATCGCGATTGAAACACAACCAGCACATGGTATATTCATAAATGTCAGGGTAACCAACCTTGCAATGGTGGATTTATTCTGTTGATGAATCAAAAAGGATTCATCAGCGAATATTTTCTGAACTAAACGTGATTTTGAGTATAGAAGGGTACAAGAGAAATACGCACTATTTTTGACATAATTTTATCTTTAGTTTTCAGCATGTGCCGTTGTGGTAAAACTTAGCGGGCAATTATCACATGTCTTCGGTTCTATATTATATTTTTCAAGTATGAGAAATTTAGTTCTAAGAAAAATAAAGAAATATTACATCTGTAGTGAGCAGCTCTTTTAAAATAGAATAAAATATGTGAAATGTTGAAGATTTGTTTTCTCCTTTCGCTGATTTCACTTACAAGTTGTATACTTCTTTGTGAGTTAACCAATTTTCGACCCATGAGTAGCGCCTATTAAATATTATACAAAAGAATCGAGCAAGAATGTAAATGTGCATTAATTAATTCAAGCTAGATGATATTATCATTAAATTATTTATCAAATAATCGAACATATCAATTATTCTATGCAAATGTCACTGTAGGTAGGTTTGAATGGGCTTCGACTTCATATTTTATCTATACAAGGCATTCAGCAGTGTTCTCAACGCATAGTAGGTTTCTCACATAGGTGCAAACTGTTTCGATTATAGTTAACTGCTGTCTTTTGATTAAATTTTTTCGTTTCTAACATAGACTTGAATACAACAACTTCAACAACAACAAGAGCAGCTAAAAGTATATAATAGACGTAATAACTATTGTTTTGTGTATATTCAGAACACATTTGCCTATATCAGTTCGAGAAAATCTTGTAGAAAATGGAATTAATTATTGTATATACGTACTTTGCTAGTGACAAGCCGAGAATAGGACTATACAAATATTTAAACAAAATCGCTGAATCCAGCACACATGTATTAATGATCTATAAGTAAAAAACAAGTAACGCGGCCTAGTAGCCGCTAAACCCTCTACTGAGAGGATAGTATTAGAGCGCTACTATTCGTCCAAAGAGAGGAAAAAGTTATTTCAGTTGAACAATCTGATCATTTGATAATTTGTCAGAATGTTTTACGTAGACTAATTTCGCTTCCTGGAATCTTCTGAAATCATAACGCCTAGTCGTTTGTCGGCCTCCCTCCGGTCGGCCACTCGCGGCTAGCCGTTACATGTACATTTTCGCTATTCCACTTAGTCTACAGTCACTTTTGAAACTAATTCATTTAGTTTCCTCTATTCCTTCTTTAAAAGTCACCCTCTTTGTGCTACTGTGACTGTCGAGGACAACACCTGACCAGCGAAACATTATTCTGAATGACTGGCATCAGATGATATTCGTATAGTATAGCTGTTTATAAAAGTGTGTGATCTCAATAATATGCTGATGACTATGGAGATCCAGCGATCGGACGTCAGTCAGCTATTACATTTTTTGTTCTACATATTGCCGCTTAAAACATTATCGTCTAAAAAATTGATCCTTTGTCGCAAAAAAACGGGCCAGAAAGTGTTCATGAGAACACTAACACCGGATTCGAGATCCTCGACCTCGATTACGCTTCGGTCAACCCTTACTTGACAACAAAGAAAATTTTCATTGCTNTCATCTCTTTCTATTCTTTATTCTCTCACCTCTATATCATATTATCTCCGAGTCATATCTCTCTTTCCTCTTCTCTATATAAGTGCGTGTCGTATTGTGAAAGAGATACATTCTGGTCATGTAGAGTAGTCAATAAACATCGATACCGTGAGAAGCGGTCAGCTACTCAACCAGTTTGTCGTTACAACTGTTGCTTGTCATCCATTTTGCGCATCGGATTCATTTCTATCACTTGTAACTGTGCAAATTTCTTGTATAATTAAACATTTTCTCTCTTAGTTCGTTGTTTTGTAATCGAAATCCAAGTTTTGTTTTCAATTTTACCGTAGCTATTATGTTTTGTTCCACGCTTCTTATTCGTACTCGCATATACTCTATTCATATTTTGACTTCTTTAGAGATTTAGTTAGAACTAATGCAAAAAATCATTTGTTTGCTTTCTTTCATGTAGTTGTTTATTATATCATCAATTTGTCTTTATTTCATTGAAAAACAAATAAATAAACTTCATATTGGAAAATATTTTCTCTTATATGAAATGAAAAAAACAGTAGCAAATTGATTATTACATATGAATCTTTTCAGTCGAGGGTAATGCGAGCCCGTCTCGACGAGCGTTATTTATTTTTTATATTAAACTATTATTTTTTGCCATAAATAAACGATAACAAATATATTTAAGTAGAAACCTTTTTCTTCTCTATTTCCAAGTAAAAGTCTGTTGTTACCTGAATTTAAAGAATATTTCATGGATGATATGATATTTAATAGTATTTCTTCAGGAGAAATGTGAAATAAAGTCTTGTATTATATAATATTTCTTCTTGTAAGTTCAGGAGTGAGACTTTACATCAGTTAGTTAGTAAATAACCGTCCAGGAAATACATTCGACTTTCATTCAGACACCGACGATACTTAATATTATTTTTCTAATAAACTATAAAGGAATTAGTTTGTAGTCACTGAGTAGTAGTTACTAACTAGTAAATGTAACTGAACTAGTTATCAATTACTAGTAAAGTAAAAGCAAAGTGCCACCCCTAATACCCTGTAGAAACAATATTTCATCATTGATTTATTATTGAGAAAAATAGAAAAATCATCAATTCTTTCTCTTCATGTTCCTTCTTCTAATTTTTTTTGTTTTATTTTTAAATCATTAATACGATTCATGTCAGTATTTAATTGTTCCAACAGATCGGTCGCCTTTTTATACGTAATCTTTGCTTTCCTTAATAGTTCTCCATCGGTATTGTTGTTATTCGTAGCATTGTCTACGAAATAATCAGCTAATTTTTCATAAGCAGTAGCCAAACGATCGCATAATATTTTGTTATCGCATTCTAAATGTTCAGCTGCTTGAATAATTTCTTTGAGTGTTGTATCAGAATCATATAGAAGTTCTAAAATGCGACTTGATAATGTATTCTCAATTAGTTTGATAATCGAACGCCAAAAAGTCTCTGCTGCTGTCAAATTACCAATTTTTAAAAGAAAAGCTCCGATAAATGATTCGTCTTCATCCTTTAATTGATGATTAAGACTACCAATAGCTAATAAATGCCATTGTTGATCATAATTATGATCGATATTATGTTTGTCATATTCATTCAAGAAATCCATAGCTAATACAATTAAGAGACGTCGATCAAGTACATGAAATTTTGGTAAATGTTGAATCAAATGATGAATAATGTCTTTACTATCTTGATCAGGATGTAAATGATGCTTATAACTACGTAATATGTTATAATAACATACACTTTTCAAATCGATATCATCAGTATTTGTTAATAATGATTTATAATGTTGTATAGCAGCTAAACGAGAATCATAGTTATTCCCATTAATACTGTGTTCATCGTCAATATCATCCAATTCATTGTCATGATTCATAGTAAATAATTTCAAAGACATATGATTTGCTTGTTCCGGTAATGATAATTCATGATAAATATGAATAATTTTTTTCGATTTTAATTGACAAGAAATGAAATCTTTTAAAATATTGCTCATCATATCAAGTAGAAATGTCTTTCTTGATGGATTATTTGTATTGAATGACTCCGAAGCGTATAAACCAAATGCTATGGTATAGTTTTTAATAGCTTTAAGATAAGACAAAAATCGAAGATGAATCGAACCACTTTGAATTAACGAATCAACCAAAGTTGCTATTGGAGAATCTGTTAGAATAATGATTTTTCGAATCTCCTCGACTAAAGATAGAAATAGTTCGGGTAAAATTGGTAATATGTTCTGTTGATTATGTGTATAAGATGTTTGATCGATTTTTTCTAAATCATTTTTGAAAATATTTCCATTTGATATCGTTCGAATGCGTGTTTCAACATCTTTTTCGTAGAATTTCAAAGCCATATCATAATCTTCAAATTTTAGATAAGCATCAGCCATAGATCGATCATCAAATAAAATAATTGAATTGATGATGCTGATATCATGTATTTTCTGTGAATCAAGATTTTGTTGAAGATCTTTTGATGAATTAATTGAATTAGTATTTAGATTGGATGTCTTTGATTCTAAATACTGATTATCAGCAGATTTGAAAGTTTCATCCATCTTTTTTTGTATAATATGTTGAAATTCTTTACTTTCAGCAATTGATGAATGAGATAATAATTTTTTATAGATTTTAATTGATTCATTAGGTTGATGACATAGATGATATAGATGAGCAAGTTTATATAAAGATATAATTGTCGGTTCTTCAAGGTCAATGACTTTTTGAAATGATTGAAGTGCATCATCATGATCACCAAGATCTTCATAATAATTTGAAATTTTTCCATAAAGTAAAGCCTCCTTTTTCTCTAACGATTTATCATATGGTACAAGTTTCATATAAATATCAAGTGCTACAAAATATCCATCATCATCATTTTGTAGCATACCTAATGTATCACCTAAATATGTATAAGATTGTGCAAGATGTCGAAGACTTTCAAGAATAAATGACATATCATATTTAGTATTATTAAAGGTAGATGATGAAATTTGTCCACTATATAAATGAATTGTTTCATTTATTTCTGAAATCGCTTCTTTATATAGTTTTTTTCTTGCATAATATTCTGCTAAATGTTGATGCATACTTCCTTGATCCATCCAAGTATCATTTGATTCCGATGTATTATCTCCATCATTTGTTTGTGCGATAATTTGATCAGAATCTGAGTATGTATTCTCAGCAAGATTATATTTTTCTAAAGCTTTTGATAATTCATCCATATCACAAAGAATATTTCCAATAGAATAATAAATTCTTTTAACTTCAATATGATCTTGTGATAAATTTAAACTATAAACTTCTAATGCTCTTTCATATGATAATAATGCTTCACGATAATGTGATCGACGAATATTTGTTATATCCGAACTTTCACCAGATAATTGTTCTGCTTGTTGAACATAACTTTTTGCTCGATAGATGAAATTAATTGCCAAACTTGGATGATATTGTGATAAACTAATTCGTTTTAATGAAATCGATTGTTCAGTTGCATATTGAAATGATTTATATTGTTCTTTTATCAAACAAAGCCAAGCTAATTTATCGAGAATGATTACTTTTAAACAAATATATTTTGTATCGGAACCATAAAGTCCTAATGATTGTTTGAGTTTTTGTAATTCATTAATTTTAAGTTCATCATTATCATAACAATCAATTCGAGATAATTTAATTTGTATTTCGAATACAGGATCTTCTTGACTTTTAATAAATTGAATTGACTTATCGAAATGATTAATTGCATCTTGATTATGTTGTCGTCGTTGAGATATATCTGATAAAAGTAAATGTGCTAAAGATAAAATTTCTTCATCAGATTTCAATTGTGTTGTTGTCACTTTTTTTAAACATTCAATAGCAGAATGATGATTATGTAGTTTAACATATAAAAGACCCAAACAAAAATTCGAAGAAAACTGTGATTCTTCTGCTTGATGATTTTCACTAAAATATCAAAATCAATCAACACAAAATAATATTTATCCAAAAGAAAAAGAAAAACAAAAGATTTTTACTTTGATAATTTGATATAAAAATGAATAGTTTTTCGATAGCATTCATGAATAAAACGATTATGTTCAGATGACAAAATTGATGAATTATTATCTGTCGTAACAAGTAATAATTTTTCCAATTTTGCTTTTCGTTCAAATATATAAGCATCTTTCCATATTCGAATAGCTTGAAAATATTGATCTTGTGATGCATAACATGCTCCAATAAGTTCATAGAGAGATCCAAGAGTCGATTGTGTTATTGAACTATTTAATTCAAACATGTTCATATCTTGTTTATCAATTAACTTTTGTACAGTTGGATCATTGAAACATTTTGTAACTTCATTATAAGATTTGTTTTGTGCAAATGTGAGCATTATATTAATATAAGTTTGCATTAATTTTGGATCTCCATCAGATAAAATACTTTTATAAAGTTTCAATGCTTCATTATAAAAATATTCAGGTTTACGATTATCTGTTGAACGTTTATGAACACTTAATAAACGTCCATAATTAGTTAAAAATTCTGCTTTCATCAATGATAATTCTAATGCATCGTGTACTATTCGATTTGTATTTTGTTGATAAAGTTTTTCGGCTTTTTTAAATATTTTTTCAGCTTCATCATAATTTTTTTGTTTATAATGAACATAACCAATATTACTATAAATTGATGCAAGATATTGTTGATTTGATTTCGGTTCACGTAATTGCATCCGTACTGCTTTTGTAAACATAGCTTCAGCTTCATCCATATGACCTAATCCTACATAAGATAATCCAATATTATTATGAATTTCAGCTAAAGCATTATTATTCGAATATTCAAGACGTGCCTGAGTATTAAGTGCTTGTTTAAATGCTTTCAATGCATCATTATGAAGACCTTGCCGGTCATAAGTCATACCTAGACAATTGTAAACATTAACAAGACTAATATCATTTGTTAAAACGCCTTTAAGACCAGCTTGAGTTAAAAGTGATGTTAAATATTTTCGTGCTGCTCGATATTCTCCTAATTCGACAAGATAACGAGCTAAGAGTACAGCACGACCTGATGGTGAACAATTTCCGACTTTAATACGTATATCTTCAACAAGAGACTTATCAATTTCACACGCTGTTAAATGAAGTCGATAATAATTTTCACCATTAGCTGGTTCAAGAATTTCTTCAACAACAAATGAAGATCCCATACTAAAAAGTACCTCTTTCTCTTCAGGATGAAATGAAATACGATCAATATAAGCAAATGCAGTACATGGAACATGAGGTTTAACTGTAATAATAAACAAAACTCGAACATTTCCTTCATAAACTCTTTGTTTTTGCGCATAACCTTTAGCAATATCAATATCAGAAGTTGTTGAAATAAATCCAAGTAATGATATAAATTGAGCTTTTTGTCGTTTACACATCACTTTTAATTGATTTTCATTAATATTATCTGCTCGATAAAATTTTCGTTCAATATCACCTTCTTCTTTTAATTTTTGTCGATACATAAATTCAATTGATCGACAAAGATCACTTAGGTAATAACGATATGACATTAATAATTCAAAATTTTCCAAACGTACAATAGAATTAATTTGATAATAAATACTTGCTTTATCACATGAATACCACCATATCGCATTAATAAAATTTGGTTGATCATCCCCTGTTTGTGTTGGCTTTAATTGATCCTTAAAAAGTCAACGAATAAATATTTTTAAGATAAACAAATATTTGCTAATTAGACCTGATCAGTTTCAGTTCGTAATGGATTATGTTTATAAGACATTTTAAAAACTTCTGCATATAATTTCTTCATATCCCATTCTTGTTTTCTTATCAGATCAATTTTGACTTTTTCGATATCAACATATTTATCTGATTTTTGACAAGTTCCTTTATTTTCAGCATTATTCTGCTATAAGAATTAAAATATAAAGAAATTTTTCAATAAAAAAAAGATATTCTACAAACCTGTTTAGCTAAAATAAATCTTTCATTTTCAATATATCGATCACAAGTATTTGCTAAATCTATTTTAGCCAGATTTAAATCAAATTCAACAAATGAATCAACTTCATCATGATCATCTTCACCATCATTCATATGTAAAAAGATTTCTTTAAAACGTCTTAACCATATATATGTCATTGATTCCGCATTAAGTTCATCAAGTGATTGTTTTTTTCCATCAAATAATTTTAATGGAAAAGATTTATCTGTAGTTACTTGAACGTCTTGATCGTTTTCATCATATAGTTGTGATTTATTCGGCATTATTGGAGGCAAAATTTCTTTTGTTGATAATCTTCCACTTGGTGTTCTTTTAATAGAATCATTTGTTGAGAAATTAGTAGATGCATGAATTTCATTTGTATTATTTGTCGATGATATTGAGTTTGATTGTATTTTATTTTGATTTTGTGTCATTGTACTTTTTTTTGCATTTGGTTGAATAGTTGTGCTTGCCAGAATTCTTTTCATTTTCATCTGACGTCAGTTTCGTACAAAAAAATTGTTTGATTAAAAAGGCGTATGAAATCGTACTTTTAAATACATGAATAATCTTCTAATATGAATTGGTAAGTAGTTAGTCGCTGAATAAACAATGGAACAAACAAAAATATTTATAGCAACAAAGACAAGGTTAACATTTTTTCTATCGAACCAATTAGTGTTTTATGATTAATATAATTAAGTATTTATTTGAAAATGATCATAAATGATTGTACAAATAAATGTCAATGTAATTTTATTCAAAATGAATTTCATTTATCTTTATATAAATATGTCATAAATCATTCGAGAATCTCAATGTTGCGATTAGTTTAATCGTAGATTTTCAAGAAAATTTATTGTTGCATCATTTTATAAAGTTACTTCCGATATTATCATTGTCAATGATGAAATAGAAATTGAATTTGAGAAGAGCGATGAGGAGTTTTTCTTAGAAGACTATTTTTAGAAAGAAAATCATAAATGAGGGTGCGAATCTCAAATGAACACCTTTTTTTTATCGATTATGGCATATAAAGTAAGAAAGTGTTGCTACAAAAATGTTTCTTGATAATCTACGATTAACCTGGTCAAAATTCTGTTCCTACGATAATCAATAGTATATTTATGAGAAATATAATTTTTAATAAATCATTTCAAAATTGTTCCATTAGAAAAAAAGAAGACTTAGTTATTATTTATTTTTGAAGGTCTTTTATTAATCATTGTTGATATCTTTAAAACAATCGTTATCAATTTCTTCAACTTGTAAATATCGTTGATCACCAACATTTGTCCAATATTTATTCTTTTCTAATTTTCTTTCATCAATTGACATTTCATTTTCAATTGCCGAAACAATACGTGCACGTTCTAAATGCCTATTTAAACCAATTAAATAATTCATTCAAGAATACTTTTCTCATTTTTATATACAAACCAAATTTGTGTGGCACTTTCAATAACTTTTCCATAAGTATCACCCATCATCGCAATAAGTAAATTAAGTAAAAGTATCGAAACAACAACAACATAAACAACCAATAATAAAATATTAACATTTTGAAATGTTGATTCATTATATTGGTCAAGATCAAAATCACCCAACATGCCGAAAAAGCATTGTTTAACACTTGTAAGAAAACCAATTAAACCTTTGCAAAAATATTCAAATGTTATTAAAGAAAATATATTCTCATTGAATTTACCATTAGAATCAAGTAAAACGAAGAATGCTTGAGAAAAACCAATAAGAAAAACAATATAGATAATACAAAAACGAAGGATATCTATTGAAAGCATTTTATAAATCATAAAAACAAATGGTCCAGTTAATTGTAAAGCCATTATAAAAAACAGCATATAGCCCCAACCTATAATTGAGACTAATGCAAGTATAATTGTATGAGATTGAATATCCAATAAACGAAGAATATTATGAAGAATAATTCCAAAACAAAATAAACATGATAAACAATTTTCAAGAAGAGCAGAACCCTAATCATCATGTTTTATGTTTAATTTGATAGAAACTATTCAAAATCAATAAATATTTACTGTCGCTTGAAAATATTTTCGTAATCCTACATGTGCCATTTCTTTCAATTCTGATTCACTTTTTGATATAGCTCCAGTTAATACAATTAAACGTCCTGTTGTACATAATGTTCGATAAATAGTACCACGATGTTTAATATCAGTTGTTTTCGTATTATTATCTTCATCTTCAGTCTATAATTGAGAAAAAAAATCAAAATTATTTGAATGAATGATATTCTCAATTACTATATTTGTCCTTGTTTGATCAAGAATTGTTGTAAAAAGAAAAAACAACAAATAAACAAGAGTAATGAGAAAACGACGAAAAAATATTTGTCGAGCAAAACATTCCCATTTTTTACTAACTAAATCAATAATACGTGGATGAATAATAAGTTCTGATTGAGCATTTTGAACAATTATTTCAAGAGCACCAGGTGCAGTGTTTCCATCCTTGATTAATGGAAAAAGAAAGTTTAAGTGAAAAAACACGATTAAATATAACTACTTCTTCAATTTCAAGGTCAAGCTCATCAAGTGGATAAAGCACACATGAAACAGGTCCATAACTCCATTGAACAATTTTGCGTTCATCAAGTAAAAAAGAAAACATTTCAGTTAAACCTAATTTAGCTGATAATGTAAACGGGGTATAACCATCATTATTTAGACGTTTCCATAATGGAACTAGTTTGTTCCTTTCTAAGACAGTTGATCTACTTTTGTTATGCTCATTATCGCTTATTTCTTGAGTGTTCATTGCTGGTACTTTTAACCAACATTCTTTAAATTTCGAATATATTTTTGGTAAATTATGAATAACAACTAAATGAAGTATTGTATTTCCATTACTATCTACCTTAAGATAATGTTTATTTTATTTTGAGTAAATAAAAGTATTCTTTATACATACTGTGTCCATCGCAGCGCCATATTTGAGTAATATTTCAGCAATATTCCATTGATTAGTACAACAAGCAAATGCAAGAGGAGTTTCACCATAATAACACGGACGACCACTGAATAAAATGAAAAATATTTACAATATTAGAGAAAGTACAGATATTTCAAGAAATATGTACAATTGAAAAAAGTTCCCATTGGCAGTGGCTGCCAGCTGTTGTTCTCGATATGGTCGAGTATATTTATTACTAAGAAGCCATTCGACCATAACTGCATTACGTTTAATAATGGCAATATGAAGAGCAATTTCACCATAATATTCCTACATGAAATGAATATTATTCAGTAGACAAATACGGTAATAGAAAATAACTTACTGGTTGATTATAAATTTGTGTAGCAGTTTCTGGAAAACGTTTAATAAGATACTGAGCCATACTTAGATGAGTTTCAGTTCCATATAAAAATAACATATGAATAGGGCAGTCACCAACAGGACCTCTTTCATTAACACTATTTGGATTAGCATCAAGAAGACGTTCAAGTCTTGCTTGATCTGCTTTGTGTACAATTTCCCAAATAGTTCCACCTTTATGTGCGGCTTCTGTTTGCTGTTCGACCGCTGATAATGCTGATTTTTTATGTGCGTCGCCTTCTTTGAATTGTTCAGTTTGTGTCATACTATTAATCAAAATTTAACAACTACTTATAAGAAGATTCTATTCTATCGTTAAAAGCCTTTCATTAATATATTAAAATTTAATGAGATATGTTCCTATAAATATTCTTCTTCGATTTTATTATTAACTCGAAAGTATTTTCATATTTTAAGTGAAATAATTCGAGAAAATTATTAAGAAAAATATTTAATATAAAATATATTTCGATGATGATCATTGATAACTTTTCACCAAATAAAAGAATTAATTTAAAAGTGAAATATAAAATAGAAATCATACGAGAAACCTTTACTACAAATTTAGTCGGTTCATGTTAACGTACTTTTCTTTTTCGAATGCGTTCGATTTCGTCACTATAAGAGTGAAAAAAAATCTGTTGATGTTTTGTCGTTGTTATTGATGAAATAACGAAAATTAATCCATACTGAAATAGTTCTGAATCGACCTTGCGTTTCTGTTCTGTTGACAAACGTCGTCATGAAAGTTAACAGATGCAAAGATACTACCAGCGAGGAATAGTTTCTTTTGTAATTTTAAAATATTGTTGACCTCTTATCGATGATGACAGAACGAAAAATTCGTCTTGTTTCGTTCTACTGATGACGAACATATATTTATTACACATTCCATACGTAATTCTCTTTTATGATTTTAGTTTTAATACATTCGAGCTAATGAAATCAATCGATAGATTTCACTAGATATTTCGATTTGATGCGTTATGGCGTTTTCCGGGAAACTGATTTCTATAAGATTTTCAAACAGGATTAAATGATCTTTAGATAAAGCTTCCATAAGCGGCATAGGCGGTATTTTATCTACTTAGCTTCCCAGTATTTGACAAAGAAAATAAATCGATTGTGCACTAACAAATGCTTACCGAACAAAAAGCTGTCATCACCCACCGCAGCACGCTCAATGAAATAATAGTATTTTATACCGCCCTATACTGAAATTCAATTACCCGGCATTTCCTGGGCATCCGAAATGCATCATATGGAAAAAAACTAAAATATATACGTCACAATTTGAGAGAGATACTTGCAAAATACTGAGAGGGCCATTCATTTTGTGACACCCGTTATGTTTTAGAAAGAAAAAGGAAGAAGACGGATCTTAGTGAATAATGAAAAACTAACAACGGATTCGAGTAGTGATTACTTCAGGAATATCGATAAGTTTCGTTGGTTTGCGAGATGCTAGTTTCTGATTGGATAGGAAAGACAGACAAACTTTAAGCTTCGAGCCTAGGATTTAACCGCTGTGTAACCTTTTTCTTTCAGAAAAAGAAATATCGCCTGGAATAGTTTATTGGAAGTTATATCAGTTGGAAAACGTATTTTCGATGTCGAGAACAGAACGTTCACAAATCACAAGAGAAAACGATTCTTAGGTTGGTTTATAGTTTTGTTTTTAATAATTGAATTTTCTTTCGAATATTTTGTAGAAAAGAATGGTTAGTCGGTAAAGAATATTGTGCACTGTCTTGAGCGCGTTCATAAAACCGAATTGCCTTTGAATATTCGTTCATAGCTTCATAGCAAGTAGCAACGCCGTTGTAAGTGGCAGCCAACGCTGGATCACTCTTTGCGAGACACTTTTCTCGAATTTGCAGTGATTTTTCGTAATACGTCAGGGATTCGCAATAATCGCCTATGTGACTAAACACTAAACCAATATTACAAAGACAAGTTGCTAAATGTGGATGACCTGAAGGAAGAGTCTCTTGTTGAATTTCAAGTGCCTTTTTATAGAATTCAAGTGCTTTTTCGTATTTATGTATTCTATGATAAACGGAAGCGATGTTGTTGTAAGAAGTCGCCACTGAAGAATCGTTTGAAGNCATTTTTGCGAGTCCAAAAATGCTTAAAAATAACTTGAAGTAGCCGAAGTATTTTAAGGAACGCAAAGTAGCCTGAAGTAGCTTAAATTACATTAAAGTAGGTGTAGAGTACTTTAAAGTACGTCTCAAGTAACTTGACGTACACAAAAGTAAGTGAAGTCACTTCAAGTCTAAAAGCCCGCTATTTCCCCCTTGCAATAGAGCCGGATACTTATATATCATGGTATATAGTTCATCTCATTCATATTCTTATTTATCATATTTTTTAAAATTCGTTACAACAAAGTTCTTTGAAAAGGTCAAAACACGTGTTGGTTGCTTAAACTTACCTTTACCCCCAAGATTTTATGGATTTTCTATGCTCCCGCAGAAAAGTGCATTGAAAAAATCATTTGAAGATAGGAAATGTTCGGGTCGAAATGTATGTTATAGAGTTTTGTAAAGATGCTTGTGAAGACTGTCTGAGGCAATTATAAAGATCATAAGAGAGATATTGGATGTTAGTGTTAGAGGACGGTCTTTTTTAAACTTGTTGACGGCTTATTTCTTCTCGAGTAGGTAGAGGTTTCATTTTTTCAGCAAAAATAAAGTATATCTTGGCCTACCAGTTAGAATGAAAAACAAAAAATTAAATTGAAAAAAATATCATCAGTAACGGGGAAGGGGTCCCCTTAAACGAGACATTTTCCAACGTGATTCTTTGTTTGATTCGTTTTTACTATTACAATCATTATCCTCATGCAATGCTTGGAAAAGTGCACAATTAACGAAATTAGCTGGCCATATCATTGCTGCTGGCCTAACTAGAAATTTTCGCATAATACCCGCTATTCCATAGCCTAAAGTTTGAGATGTTACTACGAAAATAATGCCAAATACTGGATTAATAGTTCGTTTGTAGAATAATCGTTCAACTGTTAAAACATCAACAGCAGGCGCTGTGCTCTATTTCACAACAAAAGATAACATTCAATTGTTGATATATTTTCAATTGTTTTGATCCAAAAGATTAACTTACGCATGTAACAACAGCCATAACAGTAATAATACAATGTTCTTTAACCGTAAATGGTCCTGGATTCAGAGAAAATTCCCATCGAAAGATTTTAAAAGTTCGTTTTGGTAAACACTTCGTCATTACATTTGCTAAGGGAAATGTTAATAATTGAGGAACAAGTGTACCGACGACTAATGGTGTAGTTCGATACGAAAAAAACTGATTAGCAAACGAAAGGAGACAAGTACATAAAAGACCAAGAAACCATGAACGAAAAGTTAGAACTAATGTAGTCGGATCATCTGTATTCGAAATAATTTCAGAGACTTCTTCGTCAGATACTTCATCGTCATCGTGACCGATGAGTGCTTGACTTGCAGCAAAAGTATCCTTTTGGCAATTATCAACACCAACTGAACTACGAGTGCTAAAAGGAACATGTAAATTAGCAATATCATTCTCTGTTGTTTGAATTGGTTCTAACTCAATTTCGGTGAAATTTGTATTCTTGTATGACAAAATTTGATTATCTTCACCATGTTCAACATAATTTGTCAGACTTTTGACTTGATCGGGATTAGTTTGGCAGTCGGATGGATTCAAACGAGAATGATTAGTTGTCATTGTCAATACCAATAATTCATAGATGTCTATAAACATATAAGTTTTTACTTTAATGCTATCAAATAACAAAAGAAAGAAAGAATTACTAACCGCAAAATTACTGACAGAAAATCTTTTAAATTACTGTCATTCATGTTCTATAGAATACAGATTAACTCACTATTTCTAATAGACATATAATATTTTCTCTATCTTACCAGTTATTTACCCGTAAAGAAGAAAGTATTATCACGATGGATTGTTTACGTTTCTACAACTTTGAAAAAAATACCACTTGTTTTTTCGAATTTCTCTAATAACTGATACAAAAAAGTTTAAAAGAATCAAACTTTAACACGCTCAATGTTCTGAAGGGAAATCTCTGACATGATTCGACTACATGTGCGTGCTGGAATGTAGAAGAATGAAGAATAAAACTAAACATGGGAAAAGAATAAACCCCTCCCCGTAATAGAAGGCACTAAGGCTGCTACTTTGGCAAGCGGAAAAAATTTTTCAAGGGTCTTCTCATATGTCTCGTCATTTTTTGAAAATTTTAGGTACCTAACTTTTTAGGGGTTTTTGACAGATTTGTATATGATCATAAGCTTTTTTGGGGATTATTACTACTTCTTTACGTCAAAATCCACTGCTTCGTCAAATTTCACGGTGGCAAAGTAATCAAAATTGTCAGAAACGTTGGAAAAAAAATTGAAAGGATAGCGAGGCTTCTATTAGGCAGATGTGTTCCTCAGCTCCGAGGGAGCTTCTAATACGAGGCAGGGCGTTTAATAGGGAAGGGGCTTCTATTACAGGGATGGGTTTAATTCAACGAACGAGTAGACATAATCGACATGAAGCTAGCACCACGAAAAAAATTTCTATTAGTTACCAATAAACCCATAAAAAATTCAAAAGCATAAAACTCTTCCTCCCTTCACATCGATATGAAACTAACACGGGAGTAGTACTACGAAACAAAGAAAAATGTTGCCGGTGAAATTGGCCCAAAATACTTATTTATATATAGTACATGAATAAGTAATATGTTAAGTCAGAAAATTTTCTCAACAGAATGTTTTTCTCGTCCCTAGAGCCCAGTGGGATAGATACATAATTTGAATCTGCTTTGATTAGAAGCGTGTCCGGTAACGGGAAAATGTTTCGCGAGAAAAGTTGTCCATACTGTTTTTCATATACAAATGTATGTGCCATCCCTTACCGTTGAAGAGACCCTTTCTTTTCAGATCGTTTTCCCGTCCTTGGAAGGAGCACCATTCGACCAGAATTCAATTTTGCATCGATTTTAACAAGATCGAAAGACTTGGAAACGCTTTATGAAAATTTTGGCTCCATTTTTCTTTCATATACACATATATATTTATCATAGATCGAAACGAGCTATAAGATTTGTGCCTGTCCTAGCGAAATGTGTGGTAAACGTTTTTCATTTCAACTCCAATTTCGTCTGCGACTCCAACTACATGGAGTCTGATTTTGGATCCGTTGCGGTTCCCTAGTCTGTTTGCCTGTGACAGACGCAGACTGTTATTTCGAAATCTGTCATAGGTCTGATCAATCAGGCTCGTTGAAATGCAGAGGCCACCTGTCTATCATTTTCCCGGTAAGTTATTACAAGAAAATCTTATTTTTCATCGTAAAATACAGTTCTTGTTCGTATATACATATATGAGTGACAATTGCAGTCATTATACCATTGTAACCCCAAAACAAAAATGTGTACAAATCCAGTTCTAATTAAAGGGTTTGAGTAATTCTTTTTCTTGCCCTATTGGTCTATATATGACCATTCATTTCTGAGAAAGTAAAGTTTTTATCTGTTCTAGTTTACGAGATACCAATTCAACAATAAATCCCTCCACGTAATAGAAGCCCTCGGGGGCTTCTAATTTGGCAAGCGTAAAAAGTTTTTCAAAGCGGCCTCTCGTATGTCTCGTCATTTTTTGAAAATTTTAGGTACTTAATTTTTTAGAGATTTTTGACAGATTTGTATGCGATCATAAGCTTTTTTGGGGGTTATTACTACTTCTTTACCTCAAAATCTACTGTTTCGTCAAATTTTACGGTGACAAAGTAATGAAAATGCTGAAAAATTGTGAAAAGTTTTGAAAAAAATAGGGGGGCTTCTATTACAGGGAGGGGTTTACTAAATATCCAGCTTTGAATGGCATCTACCGGTGAGAACCGCTTTTATACATTATTATTCAATTAAAAATTGTGGTTCTCTTCATGAACTTTCAGAATATACCCAAAACGCTTATTTTGAATGAGTTTGTAGAATTAGAGATCATTCATAGAAAATATCAAGACACTTCTTTATTTCATGTAGAGTCACAGTAAAATGAGTGTCGCGTCATTTTAAGAAGTTTATTTGAAACAAATTTGATCAAAGATGGAAGAGAAAGAGAGGGTAAATAATTTGATAGTTAAATAACATCAGTGTTTAAGATCTAATCATTATAAAATTTCACTCTACTCATCGAGATCTATCTACTCTAAAAGTTTCAGATATTTTGACTCGACCGTTCTTCAGCAACGCGAGAAAGCGGGTGGGGTGGGAGGGGGGGGGGTGTCCCCTTAAAATTTTTCTATCTGGCAACCATATGTCAATTTTTGTGGCATTGGTTTCCTGGTTATATCTTCCCTCTTTTATCTCTTTTCTCTTGGGCATGTATGTTAAAACCAGATGATGTTATTTTTTCACAACTTACAGGAATAAATGGTCTTGGGATTGGCTCCATAGAATTAGATTGGAATTCATGGGTTTCGTTTTTGGGTTCACCAATCGTCGTTCCTCTCTGGCATGTTATTTGCTTTATCTCGATATTTTGCCTTCATTTTCGTATTCTTATAGGGCCCAAATGAATAAGCTGATCGGTTTTGTTATAGTAGCATGGATTATAGTACCTATTGCATATTATAGCAATCTGTGGAATTCAAAATCAATGCCAATTGTTAGTAATCGAGTTTTTACTGTAGATGGCTATTATTATAATGTATCGAGCGTACTCGATTCAAGATTGCATTTAAACGAAACTGCTTATGAAATATATGGTATATTATGTAGTGACAATATTCTTCGTAAGCTGAAGAATATGGTTTTGTGGCAAAGTCCTTGAGAAAATAGCTAGTTAATTTGTGACAAAATGAAAGAAGCATAAACTATAATAGTGAAACTACGTATTTCCAGCACTATAGATAGCAAAGCAGCATAGCGGTGTAGCACTTTAGTGGTATAAGAGATATAGGAGGATAGTAGTATAGTGGTATAAATGGTCTAATTGTCCCTGTATCCCCCTTAAATCACTATACGCGTATATCTTTTACACCATGAGGACCAGTATACTACTATACTATCATATCATTATAACGCTGTATTTTTAAACGATCTGTAGCTCGGTTCCTGAATCATAGTACTGAATTTGCTTATGATGGTAGATATAGCATCCTTTCCGAGTTCAACCCTCGTCCGAAAATATGTTTTTATCAATTTTGCTACAAAAAATTATTAGTGTTAGTTTAAGTTTGCCACAAAATCGAATTCTTCAGTAACTCATGATCTCTGATATATGCATTCAGAAATGTTTTATAGGCGATCTTCGATTGCCCATTATGTTTGCCTTTTCATATGCTATATCATTTGCTTCTATTACTGCTGTTATTGTTCATACTGTTTTATATTATGGCAAGTCGTTGGAATTGGATGAAACTGTCAACTGAGTTATTTCTTGCAGGTAAAACAATTCTAAAACAATTTCGATCATCTTTAAACGATAATTCGGATGATATTCATGCTAAATTGATGTCTCGTTATGACGAGGCACCAGATTGGTGGTATGTACACGAATTTTCTATAGTCGACAGAATATCAATATATTTTTGAATTAGGTATACAATTTTATTTGCTGTTGCGTTTACTCTAGCTACTATTGTTTGTCATTTCGGGGACTTGATGCCTTGGTATCATATGTTTAGTAAGTTGATAAAAACCTTGACATTTATAATAAGTACAGTTTAGAATTGAGAATAACTTTGCAATGAAATAGAAATGATTTTTTAATTTCATTATTTTCTATGTTGTTATTGTTATATATGTATGTAGCTGCTGTTACAATTGCATTTGTTTTTGTATTACCAACGGGAATCGTTCAAGCAGTTACTAATCAATCAATCGGTATGTGATCATTCCTTTTTCTTCTATAAAAGTTTGAGTTGTTACATAAACAAAATGTTCAATCAGAACTCAGTCCGATTACTGAACTTATTGCTGGCTTTCTTATGCCTGGTAAACCAATAGCAAATGTTACATTTAAAACTTACGGATCTATAACACACCATCAAGCTTTATCGCTCATTTCGGATTTAAAATTTGGACATTATATGAAGGTATAAAAAATAATTAGTTCGTTAATAAATTATACGTGTTAATCTTCAGATTCCGCCACGTGCAATATTTGTTACTCAATTAACGAGTACAGTCGTAGCTGGTGTTGTCAACTATGTATCAGCTGTCTATCTCATGGATACTGTTCCACATATTTGTACATTAGAAAATCCTAATTGGAAATGTCCCAAAGCTAATGTATTCTACAGTGCATCAATTATATGGGGAGCAATTGGTATGTAGATATTCTTTTATTAGAAAGAAACCAATTCTTATGTTGTTCATACTAGGACCCGCAAAAATACTTGGCACAAGATCACTTTATTCACCACTATTGTTGGGCTTTCTTGCTGGCGCACTACTTCCAATTCCAACTTGGCTTCTCACGAAAAAATATCCTAAAACTAAGTGGCTTAAATACATACATTTTCCTATCATGTTATCTGCTACGGCTATTATACCACCAGCTTCACCTGGTAACTATCCATCATGGCTTATGGTTGGCTTTCTTTTTAATTGCATTTTACTTCGATGTGCACGATCATGGTGGAAGCGATATGCATATGTCTTTTCAGCAGCAATGGATTGTGGAGTAGGCTTTAGTATACTGGCCATCTTTTTTGTATTCCAAAACAATGGCATATATTTTCCAAGATGGTGGGGAAGTGGTGGACCCACAGGAGATGGATGTCCTTTATCGTATGCAAATTTTTCTGGTATCATTCCAACAGAACGTCCTATGCTGACGAGCTAGAGAAAGCTTTTACATTTTTTTTCTCAAATATAGGATTTTCGTGAATTTTTGACTTATAAATCAATATTAAACATTTGCATTAAAAATATGAAAATAATAACATCTATTGACTGCACTATGTACTTGAGAGTTTCGACTTTCGTTTTGATATAACGTTTCAAATTATTGATGTAGATCTTTCATACTAGTTGACGACTCAATCTTGAAACTGAGATCGAAATCTGCATCGTAATAGTTTGATCTTTGAAATATACCTGTGCCCTCAAGCTGATCAGCCTAAACTTTGCTATACTTCTTAACACAAAGAGCCATTTACCAACTATTATTGAATACTTCAATCTATTGTCGAAATATGACTGAAAAAATAAGTTCGCTTGCTTGCGCTCTATTCGAAAATTACGGTGCAAAGAGAACATACGGAGAATAAGTTAGTTACGTCCGTTCGTTCTTGTATTATTATACTGTAAAAGTTGACGGTGGAGCAGTATTAACTTTTTCAAATTTTTTGTGTTTCGTTCCATGGAACAAAGGGTCATATTTAGAAAAAAAACAGATTTTTGCATAAGTATTGACCTAATGGCAATCAGCAATGTTCTATTATGTACTCAGGTGAACCTTGCTCGGTCGGATGCGGACAATTTCAACCCGAATCTGTCGAGTTGTGTAGAAATCTTACGGCAAAAATTGTTTAAACAGGGTGGCGAATCACTCAGATACGTACTAACTTTCTGGATTTTTATTCCGGAATCGGAATCATAGAATCTGATTGATTAATAGGCGGCGGAAGCTGGAGGCAAAGAGGGAAACAGCGGACTTTTAGACTTGAAGTGACTTCACTTACTTTTGTGTACGTCAAGTTACTTGAGACGTACTTTAAAGTACTTTACACCTACTTTAATGTAATTTAAGCTACTTCAGGCTACTTTGCGTTCCTTAAAATACTTCGGCTACTTCAAGTTATTTTTAAGCATTTTTGGACTCGCGAAAACGCGCATCAACTCCTATCATTCGAATTACGACTATAAGTTTCACTTTTAGTAATACCTGACAAAATATCTTGAGTGTGAAGGTGTCTGTGTACTGATATCTATTCATATAACACATTCTCACATCCTCAATCATCACACATTATATTCAAAAAACTATACACGTCATGTTTCTCTGTATGAGAAATCAGTTTCAATAGCAAGAGTTTGATAGCTAGCTACTCATCTAAGTTGAAAAATTTCATTAAAACAATCAAAATCGATTATAATATGTTAAAATCAATTATTTTTAACAAAGAAATCAAGCTTCACAGGATTCTGCACAACTATACATAACTTTATTGATTTTGATAAATTTTCAATCAATTTTTTCAACCTAATTGACTACCAGGCTACCGTCGTCCGATCTAAATAGATTTATAATAAAAATCACGGTTTTTAGACCTCATTTTACGTGAAATCATACTATAAAGTAGTGTTCAGTACTTTAACAGACTTTGCTGTACTTTCAAGTCCTTTCACCGTACCTTACGCAACTTTTACGTACTTCAAGCTACTTTAATCTACTCTCAGCTACTTTTGCACTTTGCCTGTATTTCTTACCCTAAAGTCCGACCATCCCACTTGAGGCGCGGTTAGACATGAGTCTCACTAAATTTACGAATCTGATATTATTTTAGAATGATCTGTGCATATTTTTGATCGAGAACTATGTTAACGCGATGTTCTCAAACTTGCGATGTGTTTACTTATATATTTCGGAGTAGTGTAGAAATCGTTAACTCGATTCGAGTATTAAAACTTCTGTTCGAATTCGGAATCTTTAGTTAAGAATTTGAGTATTCGAGTTTTAAATTATTCAACTTCTAAATTTTATCAACTTAGAATTCGAGTACTGTAGTTTAAAACTGCTAAGTTCGTCAAGGTGCCAATTAAAAGTTCCCCAACCACAGCCTGCGCAATTATGACTCGTTGATCCAGCCGTCAGATACTTCGTCCAGTCTCCGTGTTCTGTACCCGACAACATGCTCACTCTTTCACTTTCACCATGCTGTGTGTGCTACAATTACCAAACCCTCACCCACACCCTCACAGCCCACGTCCACACCCGCGTCACACGCACACTGCCACACTCGAATGCTTGAATTCTAACTTTATAAGATTTAGAAGTTGAATAGTTTAGTATTCGAGTGGAGTTTTCGACTTATACATGTATGAATAGCTAAAACCGATACTTCATGGTACGATCGTGGAACATTCATATTTGATACAGTTGCCCAAATATCTGTCGATAGATCATATAATTCGGCACTGTTTAGACTACTAGTGCCATTATATCCAACTGTAACGAGCACCTTCCCATTTGGTAAGAGTGATGCTCTATGTTGTCTTCGTACATTGGTCATATATGCTGTTAGTGTCACACACCTGTTGATGGATTATACAATTCAACACTCTTTAAATAGTTGGTATCATT